GGGCTTGTTGGGGGTCGTCATCCTCCCATCTCACGCTTTCCAGTGACCCGCGCTTGCACTGTTGCCCCGCTACTTCTTACGGTGCAGTCCTGAGCAAGTTATTTCACTTCTCTGAGCCACAGCTTTCTCCCCCGTGCAATGGAGGTAATGGCAGAGTCTCGCTGGGGTGGTTGCTGCGAGGGTGGGGTGGGGGCGTCTCACACAGCCTGGCCCACACATGCTGGCTCCTTCTCTTCCCCAGTCCCCTTTTCCCTCTCTTCCACTCTGTCCTTAGCTCCTCTGGTGGTCAAGGACCCCAGGGATTTACTACCCAGGGCTTTGGCACTCCACCCCTGTCCCAGAGCAGGCAGCCTCCGGCCTCCAGCCTGATCGTTCCCTGCTCGAGCCCTGTTACCTGCTCCCCAAGTGGGAGGAGGACAAGGATATTTCTACTTCATTCAGGATGTATCCCTGGCACTTTGTACAGAGGCTGGGGAGCCCGGGCACTGAGTATTTGCTTAGTAAAATCCATCGGTTTGGGCACCAAAGAGGGGGAGAGTACAGAACAAGGGAGAAATGATCACAAGACCAGGCACAGCCTCTGCCAGGGGCGGCAGCTTTCCACCCGCGGGCTGCCGGTGCTGTGACTCCGTCCTGAGTGCAGCCATGCTGCTGTGGGGGCTGCTGCTATCCTCCTGCATGGCAGGTAAGAGGCCGGCTGGGCTGAGAGGAGGGGGCAAGAGTTGGAGGGAGACAAAGTGCAAAGAAATGAATGTTTTTCGACCTTCATTCCAAGGCTGGGGCGAGAGGGGAGCATCCACCGCCACCTCTGCCCAGCTTGCCGCCTCAGCCCCGGGCTGGGCTCCTCCCCCCGCCCACCTCACCTGTCCTCACAAACCCAGGGGCCCAGGGCCAGAACCTGGTTGTGGTTCTGCAGCCAGATTTCACCCAGTTGGTTCCTCACCCGCGCATCTAACCAGCAGAGAGGTACTTGAGGCTGGGTAGTAGGTGGCAGTCAGAAACAGGCCCTGACACCACCAAGAGGGGTTAAAGACTGCCACCAGGAGATGATAAGCAGGATAATTACAGAAGTGAAGGAAATCAGTGCAGGAGGTGTGAGGTGGGGAGAGGCCCCGGGGTCTTCAGACTCAGCAAGTGGGAAGGTTTCTCCGAGAAAGGGCGGTCAGGCAGGAAAGAGCCAGCAAGAAGCCAGATGTGGCCCTGGGCCTGGAAAGAGCAGTGGCTGGGTGCTGGCTGGGTGCCACGCCCAGAGAGCTAAGTGCTGGATGCTGAGTACAGGGGTCTCAGCATGTGGGCTGTGATGCGCCAAGCATTGTGACAAGCTGGAAACGTGTGGGAGTGGCATGGTGACCCTCTGGCTCATTGTGAGAATGTGGTGAGACCCCTGAGAAGCAAGGGTAGGACCCACTGTGGAGGCAGAGGACACGGAATTAGGTGGAGAGTGTGAGAGAGCTCTGGGGACTTACTAGCCATAAACCTGGGGCTCTGCTGGGTCACTGGACGCTGAGGACGAGAGCGCCCGAGAAGCAACAGTAACCCGGGCACAAGGGGCGCACTGCCCAGGTCCTCGCTGCGGGCAGCAGGCCCAGGGCACAGATTGCACAGAAGTCGTGGGGTGTGTGGGCTTTTCACACTGCCCGGTGTGACCATGAGACCCTCAGATCAATTCAGTGGGCTACAGCCAGTCAGTTAAAAAATAAAACAATAGGAGAAATAGAAAAATGAGTCATATATCCTAAAGGGGAATTTTCCCTTATTCTTTTTCTCAGGCACAGGGATCCTCCTGCTCTTCTCAGGTACAGGTGGCATCTTCAGGTCTGGTGGGTGTGCAGACCAGCGGTCTTCCTGCCAAGTGCTGTCGGTCCTTCCCCACCTTCCCCCTCTGCGCATCCTCGCCCCTCTGTGCAGGGCCCAGTTCCCAGGCTTATTTTCCTCTCCAAGGACACCTAGTTTGAAGCTGGTTGTTTGTGGCCTAGGACCCTCAAGCACCCAGGGGCGAGCCCTTCGTTCTTGCCCTGCCCCCTGCGCAGGAAGGCCTGGCAGCCCCGCCTCGCAGCAGCCTGCCTCGCTGGGCCCCTCCAGCTCCAAGCGGGTGGAGTCAAGGGAAGGAACGGAGACTAGGATCTTTCGGTGGGGGTGGGTTCCTGGGAGAAGTTCTCTCCCTCCCTTTCTCCCTCCTCTCCCTCACCCTCCCTACAACTGAGCACCTCTCGTGTGCCCCGGGGCGGGGGGGGGGCACTGGGAATACAGCGATGAATAAAGCTTGTTCTGTGCTCCCAGGCTGCCTAGGCCTGGTGGTAGTGACAGACAAGCAACAAGGCCCTTTCCAGAGGAGCATTTAAAGATTTTCATGCTGGTTCCAGTAAGAGAATCACATCCTTGCTCTGAGGTAGGCCTGAGTATTGGTAGACTTGAAGTCTCTGGGTGACCCTAATATATAGCCCCAGTTATAAGCCCCCAGTGTAGGGCAGAACTACGCCATGCATGGCTAAGGGCTGGGACCTGAGAGCCCCTAGCCCAGGTTCCAGAGCCCTGCTATACTCACTTCACTCTCTCTGGCTTGATTTCCTTATTTGCAACAGGCGTGGTCACACCTTAAGGAGTAGGGAGATTGCAGAGAGCTGAGGCCCTATCACACATGCTCAGCGAACAATGTCTGCTGGTATTAAGCACTATTATGTTTTGTTAACCACTAATGATTCATTACAGTTCATAGGAAAGGCACCTGACCTAGCGACAGAGGAGGTGAGAGGATGGAAAAAAGCATGAGATTGAGGGACCGGGTGGGGACAACCAGCCTTTCCAGGCCAAGAGAGCAGCTTGTGCAAGGGCCGGGAGGCAGAGCAGGGTGCAATTGGAGGCAGGAGGTGAGGGGAGACCGGGGAGAGAAGAGGCTGGAGAGGCACACCATGGTGAGGCCGAAGGCTCTCGGGGACTCGGCTGGAGGGGGCCGGCTGTGCTGTGACAGCCTCTCCTTCCCCAGCCTTGCCGCTGGCGAGCAATGGCAAAACCTTTTCTTGGGCAGAGCAGGAGCTGAGCTGGGAAAAGGCCAGGTATTAACTGCCAGCAGCTCCGTACAGGTCTCGCCGACCTAGAGAGCGTGAACAGCATAGATACACTCTAGTATCAGGAGGACTGAGGCATGGGTCGACCTCTGCTTCAAAGTGCGCTGGTCCATCGGCTCTACCTTCGCCCTCCTAGTGCGGAGCAAGCTGTGTGCCTCCCAGGAGGGCACCTGCGCCGCTCCGTATTCTCCGCTGTTCATTGTCCCCAGTCTGGGGGCTGCGTCCCGCACAGCGCAGGAGCCTTTTGTTTGCTATTAGAGTGTGTTTAGATTCATGTTCTGGGCCTGATCTTCTCTCCAGAGTTGCTTCTCAAGACCACGTGTGTGTATGTGTGTGTGTGCACGCACGCATGTATCTCTATTTTTCAAGAATACTTGGCTATTACCCTTTTGCTACAATACTTCTTTGCACTCCTGGTTTCTGTTTTCTCTGTCTCCCATTCCCAAGAGCACATTAGAGAAATGGGTATAAATCAGAATAGAGAGCGGAATGTCCCACCATGTCTCCTTTTGCCAACTGACTTAGATGAGGAAGAAAAAGGGAAAGATAGGTTGGGGGATCCATGCAAGAGTGAGAGCAGGATTCAAAGTCTCCTCATGAAGCAAAGGTATGGTTTGTTGTCTCAGCGTGGTGGGAGAGAATGGGACATCTATCCTCTAGGACAGTGGTGGCAAACCTATGGCACACGTGTTACTTGTTTTTCTTTTAAGACAAACGATGTTAATGTGTGAATTATTTTTTTCTCAACTAAAACTTCAGTATTCAGGTTTAATTATAGCGTTGACACTTTGCACTAAACAAGTGGGTTTTGGGTTGCAGTTGGGGCATTCGTCTGTAGAAGGTTCGCCATCACTGCTCTAGATCCCCAGCTTCCTGCGAAGTCAGTGGGACCGTCTCCTGTGAATATCTTTGCAGGAAGTCTGCCATCAGTACTAAAGGACAAAAGTACGGCTTTCGGGGAGGATCCACCTTATCTCTGTGCCCCACTTGGCCCATCTCCGCCCCTGGCAGCCACGCAGGGGGCAGGTGTAGCCCAGACAGCACTGATCTGCCAGAAAGGACCAGTTTCTGGTTTTGTCAGCCAAAGCTCAGCCTTACTGTGTAAAGTCCTTACTCCCAAAATAGGGGTACAGAGGTTGGCCTGCTGTATCCCCAAGTTACAACCATACCATGCCTGTCACAGGGTCTTAAAAACACAGCCTCTGGAGGTCTAGGTTTGATTTGTGGGTTCTCAAGGGAGTAAGGAGATTTCCAGGGGTGATGAGCGAGCCTGGATTAGGGAGTCCCTGAAAAGGAAGGGCTATGCTACAGGGGTCTTCCCCTGCTTTCTCCGTTGTCCTCGAACTCCACAAGACATGTCCTGACCCTGGTGACTTCCATTCTTCAGGCCCATTGCCACAACATGGCACCACATCACCACCCTCCTCTGAGTGTGCCCTGCCAACCCTGTAATCCGTTCCGTGTGGAGTGAGCTTTGAAAACCATTCAACACATTGAATAGTTCCTCCCAGTGCTCAGAACACCATCCTTTTACAGCCAGCCAGGCCCTACCTGGCCTGTTTGGCCTCATCTCCCATCTTTCTTCCCAACCACGTTGACTTCTTTCTGCTTCCCAGACCCATGCAGCTCCTTCCAACACGTGGGCCTTTGTTTTCACTCTGACTGGGCTAGGCTGGCTCCTTCTCATAACCCCATTAATGGCAAACTCCCTGCTTGTTTTATTTCCTTTTTAAGGGTGTGTAATAGTGCTGACAACATGATAGGTGCTCAGTACTGCATATATTTACTGAATAAAGCTAGGAAGGAAGAAATAAGCCTGTTCACCCTTGAGCTAGGCTTTCCCAGATGCAACATGGCAGCTCCTAGTATCTGCAGAGGACCCGGGGCAGCCCTCGCTCACCATCCCGTAGGCTGAGGTCTGCTTCTGCTTTACAGATGCTGCTGTAGGGTGCCGAAGAGTCTCGGAGTCATCTCTTGATTGGACCGCTCTTCCAAAGGAAGGTTAGAATCTTTTCTGCTTTTGCTTTCTGGGAACTTGGCTTGTTTTGCTTCGAGCTTACTTACCTGGGTCATTAGCTCTAGCTCCCTTCTACTTCCCCTGCCACTGCCTGCTGCCCAGGCTTTGCTGCCCATGAGCTGAAACCCAGGGCAAGGATTTTTATTCAGATGCGCCTAGAGGAGAAGGTGATTTGCTCAAGGTCTCAAACTAGAGTAGAACCCCAGTTGCATCCTGGCATTTGCTCTGGGAGTATGAGGTGGGCATCACCTCTTCAGTCAGGTACCTACCATCCATCCGGGGGTGGTGGTGATTGTTCACTCAAAGATGTCCCCTGGATCTTACTGCCCTGTTTTTAAAAAAATTCTTTATTCTAATGCACAGAAATTCTACGTCAGTCTGCTTTGTAGAGCTAGTTCTCCGCATGTTCTGAACTATGGGTGGTACAGTGAAATGGCACAGGCTTCCAAAGCCAGCAAGCCCGTGTTTGACTCTCATTTTCATATTTAATATAGCATGAGTCTCAGCCTCCTTTTCTTATCTCTGAGGAGGGATTAATAATATCCACTTCTCAGGATTAGAGAGAGAATTTAGAAGCTGGTGTAGGCCACATGGTTAGTTCAGGACTGGCACAAGCCAGGTGCTCAATATAGACTACCTTAAAAAAATCAGTTTAGAGAGGGAAAATATTAAGGAAATCTTAGGCAAATCAGTTTGGGAGGCCTTATTTGAATGTGAGGATGTGATGCCCAATTCTACTGTTAGCTTTACCCGGAACTCCAGAACTGATACCTTAGGTAGAGCCCCAGCAGCTCCCATCCTGTCCTAACTCCCAGGACTTGGAGTGACAGACGCATGTGCTGCAGATGAGAGCAGCCTGGGAATGGGCAGCCTGCCCTACCTCGGGAGCTGGCTCAGCCCAGCCTCAGGCAGGAACTGGAAGCAGTGGCTGGGGAGGCTGATATCCTACCTGAGTTCCTGCAGGGCGCAGTGCCATTGGGGTTGGGCTTGCCCTGCCGCCTGCTACCATGCCTGTCCCACACCAGGCTCGCCTCTCCTCCTGGCTCTCCTCCATTATGTCCCAACCCTGGAGACTCCCTAGAGCCACTGTGGCAGGCACTGCCCCTGGAAATCACAAACGAGCTTGACTCCAAACAAGGATTATCTTATTTCTCATAGCCTGACATTTATTAAGGGCTAACTACTTGGTAAGTAGTCAACACTCTGCTAAGCCATTTGTACACATGGTTTCACATAGTTCTGACCTTGGGGACCATTATTATCCCCACTGGACAGATGAAGAAATTGAGTCAAACATAACTTGTAAGGCCGCATCACTACAAGAAGAGCTCTTAACCCCTGCTCTCCCTACTGTTTTTCCTCCAGTTGCTGCTCTGATATGTCTGGTTCATTCCCTCTCCGACCTGGTATTTAGCCTGCCTATGAAGTTGTGGTTTTGATAAAGCCTGACACCCGAGAACTGGGGACAAGGGCCCAGGTCAGGCCAGAGCTCTGTCCCAGGGACGGTGAAGTTGGGCTCGCAGACCCAGAACCTCAGGCTATGGTCTCCATGTTCTCTGCCCCTAGCTGAGGTCGTCATTGGTGCGGAAACCTTCATGAGATTTGAAGAAAGAATGTCGTGGGAGTCAGCTCTGAAGTACTGTCGCAGCCACTACACTGACCTAGCTGACCTGCAGAGAGTGACTAAGGAAGACAAGGAGAACTTGAGGTGCCTCACGAATGAGACAGAGGCCTGGATTGGCCTCTACATCAGTGAAAACTCCGGGACTCTGGCGTGGTCCAGCGACTTGGGTGACCACATCCCCTCCTGGCTGGAGAAGCCCAAGTTCAGCAGCGGGCTGTGTGCAGGGCTCCGCACCTATTCACACTTCAGCCCCAAGGTTTATGCAGTGGCTTGCTCTTCCCGACAGCCTTTCATCTGCTTTTTTGGTGAGTGAGAGTCACCCCTTCTGGTGCTTGGCTTCTGGAGGCTGAGATAAGATGGGAAGTGGGTTTTTCGGAAGCAGGTCACACTAAGGATAGATAGAAGGAAGCATTTCTGGGCTTTGGGGATAACTGAATTCTGGAGCACACTTCTGGGCTCTTGTACTATAAACTTATGAGGAAGTTATTTTAATTCTGAGGATCTTTCACGACTAGAACAACACCCAACCTTATATCACTAGCAGTTAGCAACAGCAATTAGTTGCAGGACAATGAAATGAGGAAGAACCTGGGCTTTAGACCAGACAGATTTTACTACTTTCTAGAAATGAGTGGCCAATATCTCTGGGCCTCCTTTTCCTTATCTGGGTGTATATTTCACAAGTAGGATTGAGGATACCCACCTGCCAGGATGGCTTTGAAGGCTGAACAAGAAAATGAACATGAAGGCCTAGCAGAGACCCTGGCACAGATTAAGCACCCAGCAAACACCAGTTATAGTCATTGTTATGGTCACTACAAATCTGCTGTAAGCAGAGGCATCCTAGTTACTCCCGGTCTTGTGTATAAGCCTCCTTGGCAACAGGTTCCACCCCGCCTTGCCCTTTGCTCCTCTCTCTCTATCCTGAGTTCCCCCTCCACCTACCTTCCCTCTTCCTCCTCTCCTTCCTCCTCCTTACTCATTATAGCCTCACAGAGATATAATCTATATATCTTAAAAGTCACCTTTTTAAAGTATATAATCCAGGGATTTTTAGAATGTATGCAACCATCACCACTGTCTAAATTGAGGGCATTTTAAAATCATCCTACAAAAAAATTCCTTCCCCATTAGCAATGACTCCATACTCTCCCCCTGGCAACCACTAATCTACTTTTTATCGCCGTGGTTTTGTCTGTTCTTGGCTATTTCTTTGTGTGTTTTGGATTTGATGAGAATTTCGATCAGAATCCCTGGAAGAGCTTTTGTGAGGACTGAAGATGTAAACTACACAGCCCAGGGATTGGCACACTGTGCATGAACTGTTCCGTCCTGAGTTTGGGTGCTGAGATGGGAGGCTGACCTCTGGCGCTTCGTGTGAGTTCTCATAGGCCAACAGCCCATTAGGTTTGACAGAGCTTGTCCTCACATTGTCTGTATTTTCTTGCAGACCCTTCCATTGGAAATCGGAAGTCAGCAGCAATGCCTCCACTCCTTAATGCTTCCTCCTCCAAAGTTGCTTCTTCCTCAGAAGTTACTGTGGGGACCACTCCCAGGCTAAGTATAAGTGCTTTGAGCCTGCTCTTGCCTGGATCTGGGGTCTTCAGGGCCCAAGGGAGCAGAGAGGTAGCTTGTATGGAGCAGCCTAGGGTAGGGCCCATGGGACCCTCCTAGAAGGGACAGCAAGTGGCCAGCAGTGAAGCGAGCCAACTGAATGGCAATCAAGGGCCACTCAGGCAGACAACTTTCTCTGTTCCACACACTGCCGTAGGGGTGGGAGTAGGGGAGGGAGGGTTTGTTCACTGTCAGTCTCCCGTCTCCTTGAACTGAGACTCTGAGCTTGGAGCTCCAGTGCCAGGAGACCTAGGAGAGGGTGATCAGTGTCTTCAGTGATGTGATGAGGGCTGACCTGGGTGACAGGAAGCTAGATGGCTGAGCAGTGCTCTTGGGAAAGTCATCAGAAGAGGCCTCTGAGGGTAAGCGTCCAGAGAAGGAAGCATAAAGAGTTACCTGTCGAAGTCCCTTCTAATTGTGGACTCCTCTGTGGGGAGAGAAGATGAGGGATACACTGCAGGGATGTCATGCAGGGACATGGCTGTGAATGACAAGCGATAGCATCCCTGCAGCATTTTAAATTCCTGAAACATTTTTCGAGCTCTCACTTCAATTTGCTTCCCAAGAGTTCTGAAGTTAAGTAGGATAATTGAGAGCAAAATCACAGTTCTCCTGGCCTCCTTACAGATTCCTAATCAAAGACATTATTGCCTTTATTGAGGACACAGAGAAGTTAGACTTGATGGAGGGTGATACAGTTTCACTAATTCACTTACTTTAAACATGTGGATGGAATTTGTGCTGTGTGATCAGGTCTGGGGATGTAAAGAAAAGGGCCTGTTCTGCAGGAGCTCAAGGCCAGATGGGAAGAGGCTGGCACTTCCTGTAGTCACAGGCATGGAGGAGGGCAGTTCACAGCCCCTGGAGCTGTCTGGGGACTTTCCTGGTGGGGACGTGGGATGGTGGTGATTTTATAACTATTCCAGAGGATGAAGAGGAATCAGCTAGCAAAGCCCAGTGGGGTGTGTGTGTGTGTGTGGGGGGGTGGTAGCGGACTGCAGGCAGAAGGAGCTGCTGGTGTGAGTGTGTGTGTGTGCGTGTAGGACTGGGGAGCAGAGGCACAGATCCTTCTGGTTCAGAAGATGGGTGAGAGTCTGTCTTCTGCTTCCCATCTAACGACTAACCTGGCCCCCACCTGGCTGTCCCAAGACCACTGGCTACTCCGGCTGGCCTAATGGGTTTGGGAGGCCCTCCTTGCACATCCTTGTCTTCCCAGTAGGCACTGCCAGGCACAGAAGCAGCACATGGATATTCTGTGCTGGGCTGGCTCTACAAGGAGTGCTGTGCACAGTGCCACTCAAGCTTGCTTTGAACCTTGGGAGAGCTCCTGGGCACAGCAGACCCCACAGAAGGTGTCTCCCTTATAATAGGGCCCAGCACTGGCTCCATGGGGTGCTTCGCAGGGCCTGGTTTCTGCAGGACGGTCGGTGAGCCTGGAGTCCGTACAGCTCAGCCCCCAAATCTGTGACCTCCACACTTCTACCTCTGCAGGCCCCACAGCTCCCCAACCCCAGGGAAAGGCCTCACCAAGCCCTCCAACAAACCACACCCCCCCGAGGGCTATCTCAGTTCCCGAGGAAGGGTCCAGGACTCCGCTGGTCACTGCCCAGAGTACATCTGTCGACGTCACGCTCTGGACACTGGCTTCCACTGGCACTGCATTGTGGGGCATCCCTTCTTTTCCCCAGGACACGGTCAAGACCTCTCTGGCCACCACTGTGAGCCCTACTGCAGACCTGGCACCTCAGGGGGGACCCTGTTATACAGGGCAGGCTTGTGACTCCACAGGAGGTAGGTGTGGGCCCCTTGCTGGGCTCCACCCGTGACACCTCAGCTATTCTCGGGTTGGCAGTGCCCCCTACGCCCTCTACATCCAGCTGGTTCCGCAGTTTTGAGGCTCCGGGAACCAAAGGAAGAGCTTCACAGGTCTCCATCTCAGGGAGCCCGGCTGAGCCCTAAAGAACAATTATGCAGTCAGGAGACAGACCACCCTCACAGCGCCACTGTGAGCCAGCCAGGAGCTGAAACAGGGGCCTGTCTGTTACTGGGGGCCGGGCACTCCAGCTTGGGGTGTAGTTCCTCTTGGGCATTGGTGGAAGTTAAAGCCACTCTCTAGAGGATTCTGTCTGGCCAGAGCCAGTTCATCAGCCAATCCTCCCCTGGTAACAATTTGGAATGGAGATGGGACTGGGACAGGGAGCTCTGGGAGACAGACAGTCCATTTTACTTTCAATGGTAGCCAAAGATTGGAATGTTGGCGCTACCATTTCCTGTGTGGCCTTGGGCAAGTTCCATAACCCTTCTGAATCTCATTTGTCCCATCTTTAAACTGAAGAGAATGTCAGCATTATAAGGTACCTCTGAGGTCCTGGATCTGCAGACAATAAATGGTAGTTGTTACCATAGAACCTGAATTTACAAGTGACGGGGCTACCCTTGTTCTTATTTTACACGCTTATGAATGATCATGAATATCAGGACGCAGAGTCTCAAAGGGCAGGGGCGTATTTTTTCTTCTTCTCTGACACCTAGAATGCTGTTTGCACACTGGTAGCTGATTTCATGTTTTCTGAGTACCAGTTTTAAACAAGACACTGACCTATGGATACCAAGATGAGCAGGACTTGTTTCCTGCTTTGAAGACAGGGAGTGTAATAGGAGCAGACACAGACAACCAGGGCAGCTTGGTACGTGCTGCACCAAAGTACGAATCAAGAGCTGAGGCATGAAAGTTATTCATTCATTCTGCCCAGAGGATGGCAACTGGACAGAAAGCTTGATGAAGAACTTCACTGGCAGGAAACAGTAATGAAGTTCTTTCTTGCAGAGGGAATAGCGAGGACCAAGACAAATGAGTGTCAAAGTATGACTTGTTTGAGATTGTCAAGCAGTCTAACGTAGATGGGGTAGAGGTCACATTTTGGGGGAATGGACGGACTGGGGCCAAATTCAGAAGGACTTGATTCTGCAGTCAGCAGAGCCACCACAGGGTTTATCAAGTGAGCAAAGTGCTCAAATCTGCCATTTCCAGAAGCAAAGTGGTCATGGGACAGTGCTTGCATTAGGATGCTAAGTGAAAAAGAAAACCATGAATCAACATTATACATATGAAGGAATCACAGTAACATTGCAAGGAAACATTCCAATGGTTAGAAAAAAGATCAGAAGAAAATGTGTGAAAATGTTAGGAGTGGTTATAGTCGGGTAAGGAGAATATGGGTGTTCCCCTGCTTTTGTGTTCCTGAATTTTACATATTTGCTCATTAATTGAAGAAATTTACAGTGTTTTGGGGTGGGGAAAGGTGACCTGTGCAGAGGTTGCTGAGTGGAAGAGGACAGACAGATGTGTGGGGAAGACTTGCGCAGCGGGGATGGAAGGAACCATAAGCCTGTTCTGGGGTAGCTGTGTGATGAGGGACACGATGCAACTGCTTTTATAACATCTGCAAGTGGCACAGATCAAAGAAATACCATTACAAATGTATTTCTAAAAAAGGGTCAACTTTGTTCATTAAATCACAGAAATGCAAATTTTAAAAATGCATTAAAATTTTATTTAAAAATGTTTTTCACCTACCAGCTTGGTAAAGATTTGAAAGGGTGGTAATGCTGAGAATGTGAGAAACAAAAAAAACAAAAAGCAACCAGAGATCCCCAACACACGAGGCATGTACACCAGTGCTGCCATTCAAGCCAGTTCTGAAATGAACATGTCTTTTCCTATAGATATTCTACCCTTAGAAATCAAGGAAAGGAGTTCAAGGTACATGCCCTCCACACACAGGGTTGTTTGTTGTGGTTGTTAAACTGTTTATTACAGTGAAAATTAGAAGTGACCTAAGGCATACTGAAAGCAGACTGGTTAGTAAGTTATACATTCAGTGAAATACCATAAACCCTTTAAAGAGAATAAGAGAGACCTTTGTGCATTCAAATTTAAAAATCTAGTGTGTGAAGGCGATTCTATAGCAGACTGTTAGTATTGGTTGCTCCTGGGCTGGGGAGAGGATATCTTTGGGTATACTCATATACCACACAATATACCACACAAGAACTTGGCTGTGCTCATATTTGAAAAAGCAACGGTGGTATCTGCAGGGTACTGTAGGACTTTGGTGATGAAAATCAGTGCAGCTGAGCGTCTCTCGCTGCAGGGCCTCTGTGTGGCCAGCTGTACAGAGGGACAGGAGGCCTCTGGGAAGAGACTGAGTTTGGTTTAGGGTGCCACCTGTCGCTAGAGCTGCTGAAGTCACTGGGTGCCATCATGGGGGCTCTATGTGGCTGGCAGATAATATAATGGCACGGGGCCTCTTGGGGTGTGCATCACTGAAAGAAAAACTTCAGTGCTGAGGACAAACCTCATAAAATATTTTTAAGCCCCACAAGTCCTGATGGTGGAGTGCCTTTTGAAAGATGGTGGTCCGAGCACAGGAGTCTGTGGGGGTGTCAGGGACTGGCAGGGGCTGGCTGCCCTGCCCACACAGGGAAGCTTCTGCAGCAGCTATGTGCACACAGCACTGCGGCTCTCATTTTCTTTCGAATCACAGGCAGTAATCCGTGTTAGACCACCTTACTCCTGGCTGTATTTGCAGTAACTCCACTATTTTTCTCTCCTGTAGTTATGGCTAGTACAAAGGTTGCCACTGATATAAGAGATATAGCTACTATGACCACTACTTCTGCTACTACTGCTACTGCTACTCAGGTCCAACATTTAAGCTCATCACGCCCAGAGTCTGAAGAAAAAACACCAGCATCTCAGTCAGGTAAGTGCTTGTTTGCTGAGCTCCTCCCCTAATTGCAGAGCAGCGGAATCCAGTCAGTCCTTTGCCAAGGGCGCCGGGGCCTCCTTATAAAGACACTATGAAATGCCGGCAACAGGAGTAGGAACGAGAAGTGGATTCTAGTTTAAGCCCTGGGACTATGGTGAAAGCTTGGGGATAAGCTGCCTTACTTCCTACTCTCTATTTCTCTTCTTCAAAAGGGGCCAGTAAAAATGACCCTGCTTACAGCACAGGGCTGAGAGTCAGTAACTGTGCAAAGGCCCAGTATAAACCCGAACATGAACACAAACAGAACACAGTCCTACTATGAGGCTGTAGCTCCTGTGAGGATTACGCTGGGCTCTCAGCTAAAGGCTGACTGACTTGTAGGCTCAGAGAACTTCTTTGGGATTTTTCTGGGGCAGAGAGCCCAGGGAGAGGTGAATGTTTCAGTGCACCGTGGATCATCCTCTGTACAAATTTAAAACAAAGGAGAAAAATGCAGAAGGGACGGAAATAATGTTCTGGTGGCTGTGGGAGAAAAGCCGGCATTACTCTCAAACGCGGGGTCTTTCCCTTTTCTGCCACTACTCGGTTGGTCCTAATTATGGCTAAGCGGTCTCATCAGGAGTCTCCCTCTTCTTTTCGAAATCTTCAGTCCTCACATGGCATCTACCGTGTCCAATGGGTCCTCCTAACTGCCCAGTGCTTGAAGTTCCAAGCAGCAATAGGTAATTTCCCCTGGAGCCAGGCAGCGCTTTCTTTTTCAGAGTACTCTTTTGAAATCCTGAAGGCAGATTTTATCATTTCAACTCTGAGGGACCCAGAAGAGATGAAAGAAGAATTTTTAAGAGAGGTAAGATTTTTTGTCTTCTAATCTTGATCAGTCAGACAACTCGCCAGTGCAAAGCAATTTATCAAAAACAGAAACAGGAAGAGAAAATGCTTTGGAAAATCAGCTTATTTTGTTCTGCCATCACTTTGGTTCATGGTAGCAGGCTGGCTATGTGTCAGGATCTTTTCAGATCTTTTTCTACCTCTCCAACATTTTCCCTGAGATCTTTTCTCTTTTTTTCAGTCAAGACAGCACAGTCAGAAGGACTGTTAAATTTGGCTTTCCACTTATTCTTTCTATGACCTGGACAAGTAATTTAGTCTGAGTCTGTCTCCTCATGAAATAGGAATGATAATACATAATTCATATGGCTGCTGTTATGATTAAATCATGTATTCCATATAAAGGTCTAGCAAATTGTCTGACACAGTTGGTACTCAATAAATGTTAGCTATTACTATCAACATTACTACTACAGTGTTCTCAGTTTACATTCTTCTAGGCCCCCTTTTTCCCATGTACTTTTTTTTTTTTCTTTTTCTTTTGGTCTTTTTGAGACAGCGTCTTGCTGTGCAGTTCAGGCTGGTCTCGAACTTGCAAGGATCCTCCTGCCTCAGCCTCCTGAGTGCTGGGATTACAGACGTGCGCCACCACGCCTGGCTTCCTATGTACTTTAAAAAAGAAATGGAACTATCTGCAGGGCACTGACAGGACTTTGGTGACTGAACACAAGAGTAGTTGAGGATGCCTGGGTCTCAGTATTGTGGGATAGGAGGTTGTTTCTAAATACTGACAGAAAAGGCTCAAACTGATGACTGAACATGTCCTACGGGCACATTCTCAACTATATCAGAACAATCATAGGCTATCAGGGCTAGAGAGTACCCTACAGATCATCTAGCCAACATAATTTCACACATAAGGAAACAAATTGGCATTTATTAGTAGCTTGTTGCAGTTTATTCACAGGGCCAAAGGAATAGCACCCAGGCAATTCGTTCTAGACTTTCACAAGATCAAGTTTCTAGAAAGACAGTGTGTGTGCCTCTGCAAGTTTGCATGTGAGTCCACGCCGACCAAGAGTAGAGCAGGGAATTGGAGAGCTTTTGTAGTTCACTACTGAAAGAACAAGAACAAATGATATAATTCAGCATCTTGTAAGTTTCTTAGCAAATTTCAAGGGCTAAAATTGCAGTGTGAGTATTACAGCTACAAAAGTTAAGTATCTTTTTTGGAAGTTGTTTATCCTTAAGGTAGATGTACTGTATTTTGTTCTGATCTGGACCTTTAAGCTCCTCCCTCCCCAGTATTAGGGAATTGAACCATTGTACTGAGGTATATCCCTAGCCCCTCCCCCTTTTCTTTTTAAATTTTGAAGCAGGGCCTTGCTAAATCATTAAGTTGCCCAGGCTGGACTCAAGCTTTCGATCCTCCTGCCTCAGCCTCTCAGAGCACTGGGATTACAGGCATGTGCCATCATGCATGGCTCCATAAGTACACGTTAGGTAATATCCTCATTGAAGTTTTGGATACCAAACCAGAAGGCATCTACCTTTTATTTCAAATTGGAGCCAATGGGAAAACTTGAGTTAAAATAGGAAATTTCATCTTCTGGGCAACTTTGGTGGACTGTACCTAGTCCATAAATGGGATGACCATGTTAAAGGTTAGAGTTCCTACCTCATAGATTTAGAGACTGGAGTTAGCCTGGGCATTGTAGCATATGCCTGTAACCCCAGCTACTTGAGAGATTAAAGTAGGAGCATCAAGAGTTTGAGCCCAACCAGGTAGCTTAGTGAGACTCTGTATCAGAACAGAATAGAAAAGGGTTGGGAGGATAGCTCAGTGGTAGGTGCTTGTGTAGTATGCACAAGGCCCTGGGTTCCATCACAAGCAGTGTAAAATGAAATAAAATAAAGTAAAGTATCAAAAAGAACTGGTTAGGACAAAGTATATGTGTGGGAAGGTAAGGTGTATATTACTAGTTTTAGTAGCATTTCAGGTTTTGTCCTTTTTTTTTGTTACTGGGGATTGAACTCAGGGCTTGGTGCTTGCCAGGCAGGTGCTGTGCTGCTGAGCTACATCTCTGGCCCTAAAATTTCACATACAAGGCAAAGAAATATCTGAAGCCAACCTTTCCCAGTTTGAGGAATAGAGACAAAAACCATTGTAAAAGACACATACAGGGCTCAAGAGCTTGATTTCGATAGTGGTTCTAAACTAAGTAGTAGTAATGATGTTTAAGGAGAAATAAGCAAATGAACAACCCTTCCAAAAACAAAAAAACCCAGCCTGGCCTCAGTCCTTAGAGATTTTCTATTTAATTGTTCGGTGGTGGAGCCCAGGAACCAGCCCTACTTTTATACTCCCCAGTGATTCTGATGAACAGTGAAGATTGAGAACCACCGATTTGGTCATTTATTTCCCTTTGTCTTTCCCGCGCCCCCAACAAAACTGATTTATGCACTTTCCCACGGGCGCAGGTGCTAATGAAGAAGGGCAGAAATCTGGAGAGGCCAAGAAAAAAAAAGGGTTTGGGATAGATGGACCTGATGGGTATACGAGGGAATAGTTAAGAGCTAGAGAACCACAGGGCATAAAATAGCATCACTAGTGTGTTTCTTTTTTTGTGTGGTGCTGGGGGTTGATCTCCAGTTCTTACACGTTACCACCAAGCTGCACCATCAACGCTATTTCTCTCTTCTTGATGTTTCAGATCCAAGAAGTCTTAAACCTTATATTAGGCCACGAGCAATTCACATTGAAATGGGTTGGCTTTGAAGTGAACAAAAAGTAGCACACGTCTACTGATCTGCAGATTCCCTTTTACTCAGTCTTCTCTGGATTTTTACTAAGTTTTGGTTGATTCCTAAAAGAACAGGACTGGAAATAACTTTGCAATATGCTAGAAGGCGCAGACCTACAAGTAGCACCAAAGCAAACTACATATAAAACCTGCATTCTTGGATTTTATGATGAAACAGATGAGCAGAAGATGGCAGAAGGTGGGAACAAAAACCTCGAGAGAGTCAGGCAAGGACAGACACCTGAGCCGAACACCAGTGCTGAAAAGAAAGCCATGAATCTGTCTAAGAATGCAAGCGAACACAGTAGTGGTTTAGGAAAGCAAATGTGGCTGCATTTCCAGAGCTGCGGACTGAACCACGGGCTTCATGTATACCAGGCTAGCGTTCTACCTCTGTGTGTTTGCAGCTCCACAACACAGAATGTATTAATGCCAGCTACCTGTCCTATACCGAAGAAATATTTTTACCTGTACACTGGGTAATTTTAAGGCATGTTATTCTTAATATTAAAATATATCAGAATAATATTCTTGCATACATGTTCTTTTTTTCCTGTGTCCTAAGCACGCAGATGCACATTAGAAGGTAGTAACATGTCAAATACAGTAGCAACTTTAGTCTGAAATGTTTAAAGTTAAAGTTTATTTGTATTCTTTGTAGGAATATCAATAAAAGACCTCAAATGTATCTATATCTGTACATGTACAAGAACCGTCAAAAATTATTCACAGAACAAAAATAAATCTTCTTTAGAACAAACCCAGGTAATGTAATGCAGATATGGATCTCACATATGGAACAATCTAAGTGCTACTTAGCACAAAAATATGGCTTTGAAAATAAAATAAAATCTTGGGTTTTCTTTTTCTAAGGTGTATTTCTCTTTCTTGAAATAAAAAATAAATTATTTAGCGTTATTGTTGTAAAATAGTCATGTGTATTAACACACTCTTATTAAGGCCCTGGAGATGAAAAACAAAATAAATTTGGAAGGTAAATTCCTCTCAGGTGTGATCCAGGTAAGTACGATGCTATGAGCTTAAGTTGATTTTGATGTAACTAAGAAAGGTCAAGCACCAGTCAACATTTAACCTTTACTAGTTAGCTTTATTTGCAGGATAGTGGTCATTAAGTCAGTATTTAACCTATTGGTGAACTGAGAATTGAAACTTTTCTTTGGGAGTTTGGAAGTGACATCAACCAGATGGTCATATGTAAACCTTATACCCTACACAGAGCACAGAGACTCGAAACTCTGCTCCTGTGGAGATCTCGCCCCCCTCCAATGGGTAAGTCTGGTTTTCAATCTCAAACAAAAAAACTGCACTGGGGAAGATGAAAGTACTTGAATGAAAAGTAACAACTGAGTAGGAAATAAAATGCATGCTGAAATACGATCCAAATCTACCACTTTGCTTGGATGGTTCACTGCATGAGTCAAGTCTAACTAGGTTGGTTACTCAAACACCTGAGGATTAACTGATCAGAAAACAAAGTTGCTACTTTTTGTATTTTACTCTGATCAGTGATGTTCAACTCTATTTCTGATTCCCTGGTATCAATGATGATATCTAAGACCCTTGAGACAATGTCAAACCAAATCAAGTTCAAGTCACTTTAACTTACATATACATATAACACATATAGTACATTCTTGAGAGAACTGCCATAAAATCTAATAAATGAGAGCACATCTAAAAATTCAAGAAAGTTTGGGAATTACTGTTCTATAAAATATATTAACATTCAGAAAAGGAAGCCCTAGGAATTGTGTATTTTCTATGAGCATGGACATGTTATCTACAGAAACTGTGTATTACTGGGGGTTGAACCCAGGGCCTGCACACATCATCAGTACTTTTTTACTGTGAGACAGAGTCTCACTAAGTTGCTAAGTTGCCTAGGCTGGGCTCAAACTTGTGATCCTCCTGCCTCAGCCTTCCAGAAATCTAGGATTACAGGTGTGCATCACCACACTCAGTTTATGTCTATATATTTTAAAAGTGGGCAAGGGACGGATATCAACCTCCCTGTCTCCTTGAATCTTTGAGTTACTGAGAAGACTGCTATGTCCCCTTCTGGATCCAGTCTTCCTTGGTTTTTCCTCATAAGATATTTATTCTGTCTCATGCAAATTTCATTAGTTTTGTCCTTTCGAAACTCAAAAGCATTCATAACTGGGTCATGATAATAAGAAAATGCAGCTTGAACTAATAATAATAATTCAAACATGAAAAGAGATTCTATTTAAAAATTCAACACCTCAACATTTCTTGCCTTTAGGAAACTAATGTAAGTCCTTTCAATTGACATCTAGATTTTTAAAAAAAAAAAAATATCCCAGGTAACAGGTAAAAAGGAAACTATTTATTGTTGGGGCAAGCAGGGCACTTCACTACTAGACTTGGGAAAAGGGAATGGAGAGAAGAAAAGTCCTTTAGGATCTCCATACTCTGAGGGAGAGGTGGCCTCCAAAGTGTAGCTGAAAATGTAGTGATGCTGTGGTATAAGCTCTGTGGCTTCTGGGTCTGACCCAATGTCACGTCTTGACTGGTGCTGAGCCTGGGCGTCAGCTACACTGTGGCAGACTGATGGGACTGGGTAATCCTGAAGGGGTGCGGGGTGCTTCCCCCGGCTCAGCCCCATACCCAATCTTGTCGGGAACTCTAAACTGGAAGTGACTAGCGCTAAATCTGGATGGAAGCAAAACAAATAATAAGATAAACTCAGTTGATGGCAGTCATCTTTTTCTGGGACTTTCAATTAAGAACTCTATTCCCAATGGGATGTACCTCTGAGGATGGAGTGAAGCAAGGGGTCTACAGAACCATTCACCCATAAATAAATGCTGCAGGTAGAGTAATACCTGAAAAGCTTTGCTTCTAAAGTCAAGCTTAGTGCTTATAGAAGTCTTAGACAGAAAATCTTACTTTTTTATTCACTCTCCAACCCCATGAAAGACAAAGGGGAAAGCACATCAGTCAGAAAGTTAATTATGACCAACTTGATATTCAGAGCAAAAACCTACAGCAGTGTAATTACCTCTTTTTGCCACATGTACTTACCCAAGGACTGTCTCCCAGATAGAAACAGTGCCTGGAACACAGGTAAGTGCTCGAGTGCTTGTTATGGTGACCTAATTATAATCTCTCCTCTGTCGCTGCTTTTATTGCAGAGACTTGGATTAATGATGGGCTGATGGAAATACAACTTTTTCCTTCAGTGATGTAACAGGGAACTATGAAGCTCTTTTCCTGAACTCTAATGTTGTCCCTGTTAATGGCCAAGTCTGGCTGTAGGTAAGCACCTCACCTGAATCCCCAATTCCATTCAGCCCTGGTTTACCCTCCATAAAGTGGGGATACACTGAGGGAAATGGCAGCAAGTACAAGACATGGTTGTCATAAGCAATCAGCTTCCCTTCAACCATGTACCTCCTGCCAGCGAGACAAATGTATGTATATATTGGGACTGAAGAAAAGGCCAATTAAGTCACACCCCCATAAAAACTGTCATGTACTGCTGCCTTCTTTCATACTTAAAAAATCTTTCAGAATAAATTCTGTAGGTTGCAGCATTCTCTAAAGAAATACTTAAAAAAAATGACAAGTATATTCAAAGAATTCATCTAAAATTTAACATCTGGTAACAGCTCTTGAGTTTTCACCTTCTAACCTTCTTATTTCTTCTTCTTATTTTATTTTCATCGCTTCATTCAAGATAACCTGATAGTGCAGGGCTGCATAATATGTCCAAATGTTTCATCTTCCAATGAAGACTGCCCTCTGAGGAGGCTAACAAGATACAGCACATTCATCAAAAACATGGTATTTTTGTGTCTCCTCCAAATCCTCAATATAATTTTATCAGCCCTCTGGAGTCCATAACCATGCTTGAAAGACTTCCACATCTCAATGCAAGACGTCACCTACATTACATACTTAAGGCCACTGAAACTGACAATTCTTTTACTAGGATTTCTAGGGCACAATTTCAGGCTTTAAAAGGAATGAGTTAAATTTTGCTAGAACTGAGAATAAGCCACAAAGAACAGATCTGTTTATGCCTCTCCCCAAACTAACAAATATGTTTCAGAACTGGTAACCTTTATTCCTATTAAATGATTTTGATTAGTGTGCCCTCCGTTTAGAGGGAAGAGATAAGCATTTATAAAATAACTACTAAGGGTCAAGTAAAAATACTATACAGTATAGTGTCGCGATAGCTAGGCATTTAAGTCTGAAGATCTAAGCACAATGAGAAGCTCTTATTTTAGATCACTGGTAGAAATGGGCTGTTATGATGAAAAATATTTTAAAAGGCTGTGGGTTGGGAGCTTTGAAGAGGTTGCTTAAATGACAGAGTCAACAAAAAGATCCACCTGAGAGAGGGCTGAGCTCAATAGTAGAAATGCAAGCCTAGAACTCGGTAAAAGGAGGGCTTGGCGTCTATGCCTGGGCTTCACTATAAAGAGGGAACTATACACGTAGTCTTCTTCCCTTGTGTAGAACAACTCATATTATAGGAACAGCCCATGGGTACAACTCCCTAAGGTCTGCTCTCTCTCTTCCCCCTTTATTTAAAAAAAATTCTTAAAGTGTGTAATTTAAAATAAACTCATTTGAGAACTACTGTTGCTTTCTCGATGTAAAACAACTGCTTAGGTCCTGCTTAAAGAGACTCAAGGCTCTTTTAAAATTGTATCTGTATGCTGACGGCACAGAAGGCATGACTGCTTCCTCATCGTGCAGTTATATGTACATATGTGTGAATATTACGTATATATACTTGTATATATACTGTCCATTGAACAAGTAACAAACAGCCTGTACTTCTGGTAACGTCATCCCAGATGACATTCTATACCTCTGGAGAAAAATTCTTTTCCACGACATTTTTTGTCTTAGAATAAGCCATGGATGATAAATGGGTCATTACTGCCAAATCTACCACAAGTGTGGGAATAACAGTTGGAAAGTGCCACCCTGACACAGTTTTCTTTTTTTAAGCAAGACTTTTAAGAGTGTTATTTCAGGTTTGGATTTCCTTTCCAAATTATACTGAGGGAATAAGACGAAGAAGCAGCAGTTTAAATATTGGAGATAAAATTACCCTGCCTGTAGTACAATGGATAAAATCTTTATCCCAAACAAAAAATATTACTTTACAAATACAAAAAAACTTGATAGGCAATATTCAGAGATTCCTGCTATGTTGTGGTTAGCCCTTTTCTGTGTGGAAGAAAGGGTATTTATTTCAGATGGCTTATGAACAGTGTATCGGAGTCATCTCTCCTGGGGAGAGAAACCCTATTGGTGATGACTGCTCCCACCATGGGCAGTGGATGTATGAACATGAAGACTGTATGTCGAGACACAAATATTTATAGTTTTTCCTCTAAAGAGGAAAAAGAACACCCTTTATTACAATAAGAGTGAAAAATAAAAAAGCCCATATTTAAAACAGAAAATTCCCATCTGCTGTAGACAGAGAAAATAGACATATTGACTGGAGTTCAGTAGACATCACTCCTAAAGTCCGGCTTTGATGCAACCACTTTTATCTCTGCCTCCTAAAACAGTGAGTGCCCAGGTTAGGCTAGTTGTCTGACCACAATCAGTCCTGGTTGATCAGGGCATAAATTATTGTTCTGTATAGACCTTGGGATCTGCATGTCTTCCTAAACGGCAAGGGAACCAGAATGGGGCTTCTACACTGGCAGATGAATCCCTGAAAAAATTCATTCTAACAATGTCCTATTGCACTCCATGTGCTTCTAGATAGATACTTGGTCTCTACCTACCGAACCCACAGGCTCATTTCTCACTCGCACATAGTTACAGTTCCTACTTTTCCTCCTAGAACAACTGCAGTGCTTTCAACAAGAGCAAAACAATAATAAAAATAGTAATAATTAAAAAGGTAATCTACATTATTAACTTCCTTTTGGTATATTACAGTGGCATTTTCTGTACACGGCCCAGAACTAAGTTCCCTATGTACACATAGACTGGGAGAAGTGCGACCTTGGAAGTCTTCACTTATGTCCTGAAAGACAAGTTCCTTTCTTCACTTGAGTTTCTCACTACATTGCCATTGTGAATTAGCAACATTCTGTAAACCTGGAGGGGCTGAGTAAAGGGCTGGGAAGAGGAGAGTGGGGAAGTTTCCTTCGGTCTCCTTCCACAGTCTGTGTTCACAAAGTCTGTCAGCAGCTGCTGTTTTTGAATTCACCATTCTCCGTGATGGAAAGCTTGGTGGGATTGGTGGGGGAGATGCCATTGCGGACCTGCATGCTGTACCGCTCCTTCACTTGGGTCAGCGCGCTCATCAGCCTGGTGTTGGCGGAATCCAGGGACACGATCCGTTTTTCCTATAACACACCAATCATGGCTTTATTCAGCTTATATGGAAGAAACAATACCCTTTCTTTACTGAACGACCTAGTCCAATGCTTTCTCTCACACAGTGGTATGCATGGTGCTTCCCAAACAAATGGAACGTCTCTGCCTCTTTCTGCACACTGGTTAGGTTCAGTTTCCCTTATTTTCTTTTTCTCCTCCATTTTCTCTCTCTTTCCCCTTCCAGCACAGCAGGACTTGTTATCGGTCCTGCCAATCTCTTGGAACATGAGACTGTTTTGTACAAGTGACATCACATGTTACTTCAGACTATGCAACGGTAGCGTCAAGAGGCCTTATTATATTAAGTACTTTTGGTAAAAACTGAAACATGAAAATTAGGTGGCAAAGAAAGAAGCACCAGAGGTTTCATTTCACAGAAGAGAAGTGCATGTGATCGATGGGTTCTTATTCCCAAAAGAGGGCATAACAGTCACATTTAGAAAGGGTTCACATTGTGCTCAAAATTGAAACAATACATGGTGGCAGTTTAAAGTCACCATAAAGTGAGGATGCAAGAGCAAGAGGAGACAAAAGCAGCCAAAAGCTCAGACGGAGGAGTTATTTGAATATGGGGAGGGAGACAGGGCTTGAAAAGGGGATGCTATAAACATAACACATGAGAACAAATAGAGAACACAGGCTCCTAGACCCATTCCAGCTCAGAGTTACTCCAGGAAAGCTACCCAATAAGGAGAATGCTTTATATGACTTTTGAGTGTCTGAAAAAAAATAATGCTTCAGAATCACATTTTGGAAGCACAGGTTGCTGAATACACACACACATACACACACACACACACACACACACACACAAAGGGGAAGAGAAAGGGAGGCGAGGAATGGGAGGGGAGGGGAACGAAGGGAATGGAAGGGAAGGGAAGGGAAGGGAAGGGAAGGGAAGGGAAGGGAAGGGAAGGGAAGGGAAGGGAAGGGAAGGGGAGAAAATAAACCAAAGGGGAAAAGATTTAAAAAAAAGTTGATGTAAAGGAAAGACCAGTTTAATTAAAAAAAAAAAATATCCAATCAAAACATCATTCTCACAACCATCAGGAGAGACACTCAGCTTTGGTAGCTAGGTAATCATCCCAAACCTTCCCAACACAAAGTCTGTATTTTTCAGAAAATAAGTGTATGCAGAGAAAGTACAGTCTTTATCTATACTCATGAAATTAAAAAGAAAATAGCCCATGAGGAAGAACTGTAAAGTTAAAAGGAGTTTGTCTACCCTGGGAAGTTTTGAATTTGCCCGGGAAGAGCATGGTAAGGGTTAGTCATGGGATGTTTGAGGAGGCACGAGAGCTGAGGGTTGAGGGTGGATGCTGGTTCTCAATATTAAAGCAGCAGCTACAGAAGGCTGAGGCTGCCAGTGTAGCACCGCTCCACTGGAACACGAAGTCCCAGGAGCATGCAGTGGAGCCCACTGCCCGGGTGCGGGGCGGCGGTCTGGGTGAAATCACTGATAACAAAGAGGGCATCATGTAATGCTTCCCTGTGGTCTCCTGCTGTGCTGTGCGTGGAGTCTGTGTGGCAGCTCTGCTGGTGGCCACCATGTCAAACGTATGAAAACAAAATAAAACAAAACACTAGCTTTTTATTATTGTTAACCTTAAAAAAATTCCTTTCCAAGTGATGAGATACACAAAATCCTCGTTCTTAACTAATCAGTAACCTCAGATTTTTTTTTTTTTTAATTTGGGAGGATTGCTTGTTTTCAGGTCAGGGAAAATGTAAAAAGAAAAGGATCTTTTTTTAAGGACTTTAAAAAATAATTATTTGAAAAATTATAGTCCATAAGGTTTACCAGGAAAACAGTGTAGATCTTTTAAAAGTCAGTGGGGAGGAGCTGATCAGTGGTTGCCAGAAAACAAGAGGTAAGTGCCAAATACAATCCCTCCCCTGAGGGTCAGGAAGGATCCCTAAACAGAAAAACTGCTAATTTACTGAACTAGTTAAAGAGAAGATATTTTAGTATTTGGATGAATAAGGTCCTCATACCGAGGAAAGCAAGACTCTTCAGGATTCATTAAAAAATTCAAGCATTTCCAAAAATTCCTTTGATTCTTAAAGGTTCTTGAAAGAGGCTAAGAATGATTGCAATTATTTATTGCCTACAAAGGTAACAAGTGAAACCAAGCAACCCCCACCTAGACAACTGAGTGTCTCCGGGTGGAGAAACTCCCTTCATAGTTTCCCTATTGCTAACCTGTCAAAATAAAAGTGGAAAAAAAAAATCAAAGCAAATAGAAAATTTGAGTCAAGTTCAGTTGGCCAAAGATGCTCTGACATTTGATTCTGCCTGTACTAGAAGGCAAAGCAATCTAATCCATGCCTGACAGGAAGGGTTTCAGCATGGGGAGTGGAGGAGCTGGAATGTGTAGGAGGCTGGTGCACTGGGCCAAGGCTGGGAACTGCTCAGCTAGAGAACGGACAGGGTTTACTTGCCTTTTTGAATAATCTCATTTCCATTTATGACCTGTAATTTAACACAGTGGAGATATCACTTGCAACAGTAACTAGGCAGTTGCTTTGCTTCTTATAGAGGAAGCCCTTCTCTGTTCTCCATCGGAGTCCCATGGAGAGATTTCTGGGAGTCACACTGTCCCCTCATGCTTGGAAAGGAAAGGTGGCCCATTTCCTGGTCTGATATCTAAGCAATGGTTTTCTTAGTCATCATTACGATCCTCATGTCTGCACTACAAGGTTCAGGATTGGTGATTCTGCCACTAAATTGTGGAGTGCTCATTCTTTTACAGTTCTAGTTAGAAAGTGGCTGTGGCCGGCCTGTGCATGAACTGACTCAGAGAGGCAGAGGCTGAATCCAAGGACAAGCCTTTGCTGTGAGAGCACAGGGCACCTCCGCTCAGAGAGATGAAAACCATGCACGGGACACCTGGATGTTAGTGTTTTGAGAAATGAGAAGCGCTCGGTGTAACTCTAGCATACAGAAAGCAAATGCATTCATTTCAGAAATCTATTTTACTACCAATGGTACTAACGCACCTATGAGGTATATAAAAGCACCTATGAGTTACCTCTCTGGAAAGTTTTCACCCCCAAACATGTCTTCATTCTAATAAACAATGCCAGAGGGCTGTTCTACTCCATCAGCTACTTAGGAGGTAAGATTTATTCTAACAAAAGAAAGGATCAAATATAAAAGGTCATTTGTTATCACGGATGCCAAAGGATGTTTAAAGTCTTTTGCTTAAATAAGATTTTAGCATATCACTGAGATTAAGAAGTTTTCCTTTCAAGGTCACTATTATTTCAAATGTCTTTAGTGGTTATGATTTGTATTATACATGGTACAAAATGTGGTCTAGTGCACTCTGCAAGTATTCTTCAGGGATCCACAGTCTTTACAGTAATGCTTGGGTATGAATGGATAATTTATCATATTTTACCAATCCCAGGATATTTTGACCCATTAGTTGAGAGTGGTTTTTGTTATTGAGTGGTGACCGGGAGTAGCTGGATATTGGTCTATGGAAGGTACCTTCTGTTAAAATATCCAGAGGACCAAACCATTTGAAAACCACTGCCTTGAGGTATGTACCCAGGATATTAATTAGTTTGGGCAGACTGCAGGTCTAAAACTGAGTGAATGCTCTTTGAGGCTAGCATTTCCCCAAACTCTGTACATGAAATCCCAGAGCTTTTGATCCCTGAGCAATCAGATTTCCTCCCTGGCTTTTTCATTCTGTGACTGTGACTTCTGTCTCATACCAAGTTACCCTGCCCTAAATGTCAAAATAAGGAGCAGGCAGTGTAGAAACCTTCAAAAGCTAATGACTAGGTTGTCCCGTCAGCCACCCTGCACACAGCCATCACACTGTGGCACAGCTGAGTTCTCTCTGCTTAAGACTGACTATCACATCGGCTGAAATTATTAAAAAGGTCTGTTTTATCTCTCCTGCTGTGATGACTGTAAAACTCTCCCTACTTTATGCTATTATATTAAAATTCCAAAGGCAGAAACTTATCAGCACTAATTTTCTTGATTCAACTGCCTTCTCTTTCTCTAGGTTTTTCTTAAGCCTCTGGAATGAATTTTTATAGTATGCATAGTGAGATGGCCTTGTCTCTACTACCTGCCCCTTACCCAATTTGGGTACACCTAGTAGGCGTCTTTAAAAAGGATCACGTAAGACAACGAGAACAGCTCTTTTTTCTCAGCCTCCTAATTCCTTTGGAAAATAAAATCCATACCATGTTGACCCTTTCAAGAGAGTAGACTATTAAGTGCATGTTTAATACAGGGGACTCTAACATATACTGGATACTGGCTGGCACGCAGAGAAAGGAGTGGAATATTTATGCATATGTATTCTTACTCTCATTTTTATTTTATACCTTAAGAGTAAGAAATGCAAAGCTGGTGGCTGGTTGTCTTCAGAGCAGTGATATATTCAGTGGCTACCGGAGTTATTATCAAAACTAGACCTGCCTTTTGTTATTCCACTCTAAGAAATATAATCGCATTTTGCACTTACAAAATGAAAAGAAGTCAGAAATATTTCTTGCCTCCTGGATTCTGCTCTGATCGCTGATATGTTTCTCTGAGGTGCTTGTGGCAGCCATAATCTCACGGGTGTCACAGGCACAAGTTATTGCAAACAGAGGCCTAGGTTCTGATTTTATCAACCTTGTCTTAAAGTTTTATCTCAAGAGGCTCTCTAAGCACAGCACCAAGAAGGGCAGCCAAGCACATTCCAAGCAGCAGTGCCAGATCCTCAATCAAAAGGATAACAGGAAAGGTACTTCTATAACCGTGTCTCTGCCTTGCAATTTCAGGACTGTGTGAGGCTAGAGGTTGATGGCAGTGGACGTGACTGACAAGACCGTGAACAGCACAGCCAAGCAATGGTCAGTAGAGGTCACAAGCCAGACACATGCAGGGCATCTTTCAACTCCTTTGAGAATGCTCTCCTTTCCACAAGGAGAGAAACAAACCCCATCATGCACTAGGTTGATATTTGTCAAACAACTCTGCGAAATATACTAATACTTGGCTGGGTTAACAAACTTGTCATCAGTGAAAGAAAGGAAAAATAATGGAGGGCATATAAAAATGCATTTAATCCTCGAAAGGTAATGCCAAGAACTTTTCAGTCCCTCCTTTTCTAGCGTCTGCTTTGTCATTTGCATGGGTAGGAAGTCAGAAAATAACGGTTATTAAAAACAAGTGGCTTCTACTAGATTCACAGCCTGCTTACCTGGGCATCAATTATTTTCTGCTTTGCATCAATAACTGCTTGCATCTCAGCATGATCCTTCTTCAGTTCCTCTTCCACAGCCATTAGCCTAGAATGTGGCAGGAAGGAGGTGTCAGCATTTCACACTGGGCTAGGTAGTGTGGAGAAGAAGAAACTCAAAACTCATCGTATTTCAAGATTTCTAGTTTTTGCTAATGAGAAACCTATAACAATCTTTTCTTTCTTCTCTCTTACCTTCAAAGAAGATAGCCACGGTTGATTTCTCCACCTGTGACTGGATTTCATCTCCTTTGGAACAGTATTTCTCTAATCATTTCCTCTTTTTCCTCTATCAGATCCCTTCCTCAGTATAGCTTATTTCATTGTAACTATGTAATTGTAACTGTAATTCTATAATGTCACTAAATCATTGTAAAACATCAAACTAACCAACAAAAAAACCCCACTGTCTCTTAATATGAAGTATATAGTGACCACGTGCTCTTCCTTTGCACAGCTAAGTGTCTTCAGGGTACTCTATACTTAGTAGGCCTATTTCTTAGCCAGTGCTCACAACCTAACCCACTATGTTTAATTCCTCCGTCTATCCAGTGTCTCAACAGCTCCTTTCTGTTCTCTATTTACATGACCTATGGTTTTGAGTACAGACCCCGACTGCCTGGCTTCAAATCCTGGTGCACCACTGTTATGGCTCATGTCTAGCTGTCCTCTCAAAGCCTCATGCAGTCATAGGAGGGCTTTTTCAGAAGTGGCTGGATCTACAGTATGTGACACTAGAATTGATACATAGTACAATGCTAGGATCAAGGGCACTAGGATCAAGGGTGTGAGTGCTACCCACCCTCAGTAGCCTGGATAAAAGGGGCAGAAAGATGCTGTTAAGGTCCCTTGTTGCTTTGCTACTTTCGGTCCGCCATGAACTGTTTCTTCTCTTTGAGGCCTGTCTGCCAGGTGCCACCCTGCCTTGGAGCCAGCTGATTATGGACTGAAACCCCTATACACTATGAACCAAATAAATCTTTCTTCCTTTAACTTTGGGTGCTGGGTATTTTGGTTCAGCATCAAGAAAAGTAACTAAGATAACCACTGTGTGATCTTGGGCAAGAGACATAATGAATTTTTGCCAGTTTTTTTTTTTTTTTTTTTTTTTTTTTT